TACAAACCATTTATGTAAGCTAGAGCTCCTTTCGGAAGCAGAGGCGACGTGAAGGTGGAGCCGAATCGACGAGGAAATGTAGACGTCGCTCTGCTAAGCATTCCGGGTGCCCTTGAGGAGATACCTGAATACTTGTACATTTTCTCACTATTTGGGAGCTAGATCACTTCATCGGTCCATCTTCAGAATCCCGAGATGCGCAAATGTAGATGCACATATAAGGCATCAGGCTGCGGCGGGCAACCACAAGCGCTGAAGAAATAGTTTAGCGATCTCCTCATAAATTGCCTTTCAGAGAAATAGATGAAGGAGGTAAATAGCGGTGACATATCAAGTGCGATAATCCGCATACCAATAACTGCCAGCTCTTTCTTTCGCAGTTTATTCTAAGCATTAAAACTAAAGTCTGCAAATTCAATAAGATCTTCATTGCTGCGCAATGAGTTTGCCATTATTTATACTCTCTATCTTCAAATATCCTAACAATAAGAAAGAAGGCAGAGTATATAGAAAACCACGGATTGTTTCCAATGTTGAGTTTTTTTTAAAGATTGAGATTTTACGTTATTTGGGAATTACTTTCACTTTTTGACTCCAAACTGTCTCTGAAATGTTTTGCAGACTTATTTAGCAAAATTTAGTTCTTTCAGAAATAGATACAAACCTTTTTGGGTCGAATATACTTGTGATACTCAAATCTGCACTTCAAAATGTTTTTTGTCTAGACTTTGATACAGAGAAATTGAGTGCTCTATACGAAAATCCAAGCAAAGATAAATTACTTGGAGCAAAAGACTGGACTCGTTACTCGTGAGTGGCAATAACGCAAGCACCGCACTCGGCAAAATGCGAGCTTAGCGTCGATAGGACAGCTCGGAAGCAGAACACGCCGTACGGGCTCATGCAAGGCAATCTTAGAACTAGCTTTTACTCCGAACACAACTTGTCTACAAATCTCAAGAATTAAAGTGGAAAAATTACAGAATCTTTTGAAGTATTCATATGCCGAGTTTGTATGAACCGTTGAGATATGATTTCACTAGAACCTCCTCATGGAAGTTTGAAATCGTTTGACAAGAAGCTATTACACCAGAAGAGAAAAGAGGAAATCACGACGACGGTGTTGCAAACAGATTAACTGACTTCCTTCAAATAATACAAATGCAATGAACAATTAAAATGCGACATAACTCTTTTGGTTCC